TATATATATATATATATAAAAGGATTGCAAATATATATATTACAAAATTGCAAATATACATATTAAAGAATTGTTATAATAGCAACAGATTCAAAGCAATCTAAATGTCCCTCAGTGGAGAGGTGGGTAATTCAATTATGATATATCCATATGATTGGTTCTCTACATAGAATATTATTTTCTTCATGTAAACCTCCTTTGTCCCATTCTCTTCTAGTCAGCTCTTATTCAGCTTATTGTAACATCTTCATGGAAGACATTTCTGACCTCCCTGACTAGATCCAGTACCCCTGTCATGCTGTCTCATATCAACCTGTACCTCTCCTTAGCATTTGATAGAGTTGTAATTTTGCATTTATTTATATTATTGTAAGATTAATATATTTTACTCCCACTCAACTGTCAATTCCCTGAATGCTGGGACACAATTGGTTTTTGGTTTTAGGGCTTACCAGTATAGCCCTAAAGCCAAGTGTAGTGCAGTGAGCATGGTAAAGTAAATATTTGTTGAGTTAGATTCAGTGATATGAAGGGCAACTATTAAAAAAAGAATGGAGTAAGGCTATCAGTGCTAATATGGAAAATTTATTAGGTATTCTGTTAAGTGCAAAAGTGAATGAACAGAATCCTGTCATTCTCATTTTTTACAGGGTATAAAGATATCAGCTGATACATGCTTTCTAATTTTTTTTCTGAAAGGAAACAAAGAATAACCATCTAGGTTATAATGGTGAATTGAACACACCTCTAATTCCATTCCTTCCTGAAACCACACTAAAACCACAGTGCAATTTTGGTTTTATTTAAGTGATATAAATTAAGGATTTCCACTTTAGTAATATCAGACTAGATAGTGTAAATCAACCCTGACTTAAGATCACTGCAAAAGCTACACACAGGATTGTAAAATTTGCTTTAAAGGCATTCAGAAAGCTAACAAAGTAAAATAATTACCAAGTTGAGATCTGGAAAAAGGCATAAATCCAGAGAGGTAAAACCAACATTTGGGACTATTTGTCTCTGGAGATATTAATGAATTTCAAAAGAGAGGGAAAGAGGTTGAGCAGCCCTCTTGATAGAAGCTAAAAAGTTAGGGCTCATGGCTTGCTAAGGATGATGTGAGTGCTGGTAAGTTTCTCCTCATTGGTTTGGGATCCCAGAAGGTCTCATCCATGTAAGTAAAGGTAAGGGTGAACTGGAAATAGAACAGCCCTCAAAGGGACTACAGCTTACCCTCAAATCATTTCAATCCATGAAATTTAAATAAAGTAGCCCCAGGCGCCTGGCAAAAGCAAACCTCTCTAGGCTAAGATAACGTCATGTAGGGCCTTAAATTCCTACAAATAGCCTTTCAAATATAATACGTGGCTCACAACCAAAATAACTAGGCGTATGAGGAGATAGAACAACATGAATGAGAACCAGCAGAAACAGCAAAAAATAAAAACAGATGCCAGATTCTCCAGACATTGGCTTTATCAGACTGAACTTTAAAATAGCTATGCTAGGGGCTCCTGGGTGGCTCTATCAGTTGCGTGTCCGACTTAGGCTCAGGTCATGATCTCATGGTTCTTGGGTTCAAGTCCCACATTGGGCTGTCTGCTGTCAGTGAGAAGCCTGCTTTGGATCCTCTGTCCCCAAACCCCCTGCACCTCTCCTGCTTGCTCTCTCTCTCTCTCTCAAAAGTAAATAAAATAAAAAACATTTAAAATAAAATAACTGTGCTAAAAACAAAACCAAAACAATGATTACTGTGTTCAAGATCATAAAAAACTAGGTTGAAGGGGCACCTGGTCAAGCATCAGACTTCAGCTCTGGTCACAATCT